CACTGCACCTGCATACTTAAACCCTTACAGAGCACATAACAAATGATTTTTTTATAGTATTTCATATTTCTAGGATTTAAAAGTATAAACTGACATAATTGCAATTGGTAGATGGTTTGTGTGTGTACATCAATGCACATTAGCAATATTCATGTATTTATTGCATACTGCATTACTGCTTTGCCCCACAAGTTTAACTATTTAGTGGTTTGTTTTCCAATATTGCTCTAAAAGATCCTACATTAGACTACAGTGTGAGACTTGACAAATGGTGCTGACGCGCATTCTCCTAATATGAACAAGCCTTTGCCCGCAGGGAAATTTTGATTGGTTTTAGTATTATTTTATCGGTGCAGGTGGACGTACTTCCATGCTGCAGTAACGCACTGACAAAAGACAGCAGACTTTTGTTTAACTGACTGTTGGAGATTGTTATTGTATCAATGACTGTTGAGACTCGGCTTTGGAAAATCATGTCGCGTTAAGAAAAGGTTGTTTATTTTGGGACATGGCACTGGCAGAAAAGGAGTCCAGTTAAGCAACAGAAACAGACTCAAATCATCTTACAATCCCATGTCTAGAAATAGATTCTCATCCGTCTCAGACGCTCTCAGCGCGTTCATGCTCTGAAGACAACAAGTACTGAAGTGCCCACAAGTTCAAGTATAAATATTAGTGGTTAGATTGTCTGGGGCTACTTTTGGAATTCGAAGTTTATCGGAAAATATATAAATATTTATATATATATATATATATATATATATATATCATTTTGTTCATGGAGTGATTCCTGGCAAAGTTATCCTTATACATCCACCCACCAAATGTTGCAGCTTTTCAGTCGCTAGTGTGACAATGAATTTGTGCCAACAAACTAAGAGAAGCATTCGGCTGGGTTGTTTAATGTATTTGTGTTTTCTTTAGAGCAGAACTCATAAACCACTTTTGTTTTACATTTACACAGTTTTATTTGACTGCTGTAGGCTTTCTTCATTCTTTCATTCCGACAGTTTTGGTGATAAATCTGGTTTGCCAAAGGCCGCTTTATGTAATGCATTCACAACAGATAACCAACGATCGGGGCTCTGTTTATGCTGAAATAAATATTTAAGCTTCCTGTCATTACTACTTTGAAATATTTATTTGATTTGAATATATTAGTATTGACTTTCGGTGGAAGTCTCTTTTTTTTCATTCTCATTTAATTTCAGATTACTATTGGGATCCACACAGGCGAAGTGGTCACTGGGGTGATTGGCCAGAGGATGCCCAGGTATTGCCTCTTTGGAAATACGGTCAACCTCACAAGTCGTACAGAAACTACCGGGGCAAAGGGAAAGATAAACGTCTCAGAATATACGTACCGGTAAGTACGAGTAACTTTGCGCGTTATCTGTTTTTCATTATTGTGAAGACATGTTTATATTTCATCACTGGGTGGAGACTTTGTCAAACAGTATTAGAAGTTATTGGTTGCATCAGTGGGTCTGTTTGGATTTGATTTTCTGTGTTCATTATTGGGTTTAGAGAAAAATAAGATAAGAGAAGAACCCCCTCACCCCTCAAACCGTCACGATTTATGATGGCGATGATGTTTGATTCCAGGTGTTTGCAGTCTGCGGAGAACGCTGACCCTCAGTTCAATCTGGAGTATCGGGGCCCCGTCACCATGAAAGGGAAGAAGGAGCCGATGAAGGTGTGGTTTCTGACGAGGAAGCCCACCACAGACACACAGCCCACCTCCGATAGCTAAAGCTCAACGGTTTAACACTGAAACACCACCACATTCATTCCAACAGAAGCTTCAGCCAATGTCTTTTCAAATTACACACATTCTGAGGCCCAGATGAAATGCACCAGGTCAAATTAAGATTAGAATTCCACACACATACAGATCTTTATAATAGTTTCAGCTTGACCATGATCCGTTTTAAACCTCACTCTATTTTTTTAGCATAGACACAGTAGTGGAATGTTTTATAAAAAGTAGAAGTTAGTGATATTGAAGTTTGATACATTTCCGTACTAGATACTTTCACCTTGTCATTGTACATAAAATCACGAAAAGTTTTGATAAGCAAAACATTTTCCACCTATCTGTAAGATATTTAGTTACCGAAATAACTAATGAGAGTAAGACTAAATGAATACTTATATCTTATATGAATACTATATCATGTTTGCGCCAAAACATTACTGTCATAATCTGAGGGACCCTTTTTTTGTTTGTCGGCTGGAATAGTTTTACACTGAACACGTTATACAGGCATTGAAACTGTTAAAATAAATACAAATGTAGATATTATAGCTGTGTTATTTATATAGAGTTATAACACCAAGTTCAACAGTTCTTTGGTGCAAAAGCTACTGAGTTTATTTTTTTCACAAATCATCATTGGGTTATCCATGTGGTAATTAAAATATATACTGTAAACACTACTTGATTTTACACTGATTCTTCTTAGTGATCTACATATGTATCGTAACATCATTTTATTTGGTATTCATTCTTTATTTGTCATAAGAACTAGTAACTACGTAAACGGTATTATGGGTGAAACTACTGTTTGTGCCTCTAGAAGTTCATCTTTGTGCTGTATGTGTTGGTCAAATTTCACATTAGTAAATGTAACACTTTTTTCAGCCTACTTTTCCAACGTCATTATTAATAAACTTCACATAATGTAGCTTCCTGTGTAAGAACCAAACAGGTGCCTCTTGTACTGTGCGAGTGCATTTCTGTGCTTGTTTGTGTTGGAAGGTAACTAATAAAACAGTCTTGAGATGTGTTATTATTTGATATATTTTTTTGTACAACACATGCTTTGCTGTCAACCTTTATGGTTCTGGAGAAAGTACGATTTTGCAGATTAAACGAAGACAGTCTTTATTTTCACTGAAGGCAATGGTTTACATACACAGCAGAGGCATCAGTGCTAAAAACAATATACTGCAGATTCTTTGGTAAGAGCTCTCTCTGGTGGCTTGTTAGAAGAATATTATTCTGGGCACGAGACGTCAATAAATAATAACTTTTTACATCACTGGTCCTTTCTGACACACCTGCTGCTGTTATTCAATAATTTTATTTTGTATAGCCCAGAATCGCAAATTACAAATTGGCCTCAGAGTGCTTTACAGTCTGTATATACGACATCCTCTGTCCCGAAATGAAAATGAAAAAATCCTTCCAAGAGGGAAAAAAGGGAAGTAACCTTAGGGAGAACGTCAGAGGAGAAATCCCACTCCCCGTTATTGTCAAAAAATGTTTTTTCAATGTTCTTCAAATATCAATAGGTTTAGTATAAAGTTGGTGAAAAATTGTATTAATTAGTTTACAAATGAACAACAGATATTTGATGAGTAGTAAGAAAAATGAAAACCAAGTGAGTAAAATCAATTAATAAAACAGCTAGAACAGTAAATTCAGAAACTACTTGAGAGGGATGACTTTTTGCATCCTTCCAATTTTAAAAATGTATGCCTTTTGAAACCTCTTAATTGTGTTAAATATTTCCTCTGTGGCTCAGAAGCTCAGAAGTGCCCACGGAGGCACTCGAAAGTAAAATCAGTGAAAATGTCACCTGTTGAAAAACGTTTAACGGGTGTTTGTTGTTCTGACGATTTCTTCCCTCTCGATCCCCACAAACCTGCAAACGTTTGTAATACTCCAGAGCACTGGACTACACTGCATTATTTATTATTAACCTTTTTTCATCCAGATGTTGTGTTGGGCTCTCCTTTTTAGAAAGGCCGGGTTCATGCACTCTGACACTTAAAATTTGGAGCCTGACAAAGAAAAGCGTCAAAATTGTCAGTTCAACCACAATGTCCGAAGAGATCAAGGGTCCCTCAGTGTTGGTAATAGACAAGTATCCAGATTCATCATGCCTTTTCTCCTCTTCCTGCCAATGTTTTCATCAATAAAGGATCCTTTGCAGTTCATCAAATGTTGATGAACTGCAATGGATCCCCAGAGTGCTCAACATTTTACACACCAGGCGCTGACTAAAATCGGTTTAAGTCACTCTAGTGACATGCTGTCCCGTACCGCTCCTTTTGTAAACCATTATGTTGGCAGTGTCACAGCTGATACTCTAACTAGCATAAGGGATGTAATTGTGTTTGCGATAACGTGAACTAATCCAGTTATCTCAATTGCATCTCAATTTCATCACTGCAGTCCTAATAAAAAGGTATCTTTCGTGATAAGAGCAGATTCAAGGAGATGGAAGTGAAGGTCAGGCAAAGTTCTTGTGGTAAGACAAGAAGAGGCTTAGATAAGAAGAGAAAGACATGCTTTGCAGATTTAATTCATCTTCATCTCTGTAAAAGCTCAATGTTCATGAAATACTTGCATATAAGCTTTTTGCTACATTTAGAAAAACTTCTTACTTTGATAATGTCCTTTTTTTTTTTGGTCCAGTTAGTTTCCACTTAGTAAATTGTGTTCATGTCATTATGTTGTCAAAATAAACCTTACATAATACAAACGTACAAACACAGACACACTATAAAAAGGATTTCCTCGTCTGCATAAGCTTTACGTTTGCCTAGAATAAGCCTGAAACACATCATATGGTTTTCAGCATTTCTTACCAACACCCATAAATGCATTTATTAACTTCAAAGGTCACAAATCAGAAGTATCATTGGACACACATTAACAACCACACACACAACCAGGCAATTACATGAAGGTCTCACATATATTTTCATATGAGAAGAGGTTTCATGGTGAAGTTACTGTTTGGTGTGACCAAACAACTCCCCTTTGCAACCAGATACACCGGAAACAGCACGTTTAACCGTTTCATTACAAATACAATGAACCACACGGTAATACCTGTCGGGTTTGGCGCAGTTCGGTTAAGGACCTTGGCGTCACCCAATCATCTACAGTCGTGGACATTGCCTGGAAAACAAATGAGCTTTAAACGGCCACATCAGCAATACGATTAGATGATGAGATAAGAGGCTGGTGTGGTTTAAAAGGAGGGTCAGAGTCTCGAGTGAGACACTCCTTGCTGCAGAGTTGTCCAGCTCACCCCCACAGCCACCATGACCTTCGACGGCACCTGGAAAATTGATCGCAACGATAACTATGACAAATTCATGGAACAAATGGGTGAGTGTTTTCAAACTGAGCCGATAAAATGCTGAAAAAGGAATAGCATGTTTCTTAAATATATACAATATTGGTTGAAACACAGTCTGTCACAGTCTAATAACTCATCTTTTAAAGCGTTGATAACGTTTAAATTTATTGGGGGTTTATTATTTCTCAAAGAAAAAGACACAGTGAGAAATTCAATAAGTCCATTCACCTTTTTGTAATGCGGTCAATTTATTAGTAAAATCAGTAAAAAAAATAATTTTAATGACTTTAAAGCATTGTGTCTCCCATTAAAACTCTTTGTGGAGCAATGACCTGCTGATGTTTGTGGTTTGGCTTTTTTTTAAGTGTTTAAATCCTGACACACTTCCTCTGATTGTTTAGAGCCTACTAACCCTATTACAATTTGTCTATTGATAGGAATCAACATGGTGAAAAGGAAGCTGGCTGCTCACGACAACCTCAAGATCACCATCCAACAGAATGGAAACAAGTTTGCTGTCAAGGAAAGCAGCAATTTCCGCAACCTGGAAATAAACTTCACCCTGGGGGACACCTTTGAGTACAGCCTCGCCGATGGAACAGAACTATCAGTACGTAAAAGCAATCTGGAGGATGTGCCCTTCCCATCAATACACTTTAAAACCGACTCTAACAAGAAAGGAGTTGTATTTGAGTCCAGTGATCTGCAGTTTTGTCATTTTGTGGAATTGTTTAGTTCTAAACACTTTAAGATAAGCTGGTTATCTTAGCCACTTTAGACTTTGAACCCTTTAGCTGCAAGGAAAAAGTGAATTTAATTTTATTATGGTAATAATTGTGGTCGATATTATCTCACTGCCACAGTTACAGATGCTCTCCACCTGTCAAAGAGCTTTCCCGCTTAATATTCACGTCATGCATAACTTTCATGTTTCACTCGCAGGGCTCCTGGAACATGGAGGGAGACATGTTGAAGGGGATCTTCAATAGGAAGGACAACGGAAAGCAACTGACGACAACCCGAATTGTCCAAAGAGACGAGCTCATACAGGTGGGGAAAACACGGGGCACATAAAATAATTTGCGCTTAAACCTCACGCTCTGTAAGCTGTTAATGAGGTTGCAGAGAAACAACATATTTTATAATGTTAAGAGATACCGGATATAAGTTAAGTAAACATACACCAGTGAAAATCTCATACCTTGTATCCATTTTATATATATTAAGAAATTATGATCCTTTTCAACAATGTATTGAGTGTTAGCCCCAAACAAATGAAAAATGAAAAGAAAAACTGTGAGGTTATTTATAATTACCATATCTCATCAACAGAGCTACAACTACGAAGGTGTGGACGCAAAGAGGATTTTCAAGAAGTGTTAGACGGATGAAGACTTGAAGATTACATTCAGTATTGTTTTACAACTCACACCAACACTTCCTTCAAAAAAAAGCACTGGTCTATTTGTACACAAGTATATGCATCAGATTTTAATTGCACATGGTTTTGATACGTTCAGTAATAAAACCATACTTTGACTATTTTCTGTGTTTTGCCCTGTTTTGTTGTTATCCAAAAGGCGATTTTCATTGAACATCTGCAATTGTGCTGCAAGTGATGGAAACTAAACGTACCCAAATGACCAATTTGGAGATTCCACCTTTACATGGCCCGACCAAAACCTCTCCATCTTTGCTCAACTTCATTTAATAGTGGAGTCAGGGTGTGGGAATAAAAGGTTTCGGTATGGTCTGCCAGAGGTTTTGGGCTACACCTGCATCATCCAAAAGTGATATTCACTACAGCATTCAGTTTTGTTGTGTTCCAAGTTCGTTTAATCAGTTACATACATTCTGATTCTCACATCCCTGCAGAAATCCAAAAAGTGTTACTTTGATGATGGTACCAAGACTTTCCAGTAAGGGCTGAAGCCAGAGGCCGAGCAAACACATGCAGTGAAAGGACTAATTTGAGAGTGATACGATAGTTTAAACTTTATTCAACAATAAATAAAAATAAATATAGATTATCTACAAAAATATAAAGTGTAGACAGATTTGATATGTTTCTTTAAATTGGTCTGTACTTGCACAAGTCATGAAGCATTCACTGAAGCACCAATGACTCAATTCAACGGTAATGTCGGATGAAATCCTAACCACACACAGAGGTATGACAAGAGGATCCGGGGCGGCGTTCAGTTCCAACACATCAGGCCTTATCAGCCGGATCAAATGAGACGACAAAACAGGGAAAGTTCCCTATCGTTCTTGGGTGTTGATGCAATACAGTGCAATTATGTCCCGTCCCTGCATACACATCACAAGATAAAAGATATGGATTGATGAAATGCCAAACGTAACATCATGTGACGCAGGACATGAAGCAAGAACATAAAGCATTTCCTCAACTGAAGACTATGGCTCACTGGTGCAATAGGAAACCAATGGAGTGGCTCATTTTCCCAGAACTCATATCCAAACCGACACACAGGCATGCGTGCACATTTAATCACCCAACAAATTATTACAAATTAAGGCTCTTTTAAACTGGGAAAGTGAGATGCACTTCAAGCACAGATTTTCCCATTTTGACATTCAAACTACGAAAATGTCAAACTTTTGTGCAGCTGTTTGCAGAGCGAACACAGACCTTGCTGCTACTGTTGTAACTTCTAAGTCTAAAAGGGCTTTTAACAATATCGCAATTGGCACAAACCCATCCCCTGGAACTTCAACGCACCCATACACACACAGTAGAAAGGTGCGAGTCAGAGGAGTGTCAGCAGATATGTCTCTATTAGCATTGCATATTTTAAAGGTTTTGCATGACTTGCATTCATCTCCTTCAATCCGCCTAATGTGGTTTCCCTCACAAATAACACGTCTGTCTAAAAAAATGTTAAGGCACTGTTGATACAACCGAAGACACAAAATTCAGTTACAGCTTATGTGAAAACAATTCCTCTTATTACAAATAAAGAAAATAACATGATAAATATTGTAATTAAATGGTATATCCATTAGTCACATAAGAAAGCACAAAAAACACACAGTGAGACAACATTTAGTTCAATCTGGTCAATATACCTGAACTCTATCTTATCCAGTGGTAGATTTCTTTATCCTTTGAATATCTTAGATATCTCAAAATAATAAACCATTTAACTACAATCGCACATCTTGTGTGGACGCAACCTTTTATGACGTATGTGTCATATCATGGAAAGTAAAAACAACACACACAAACACAGGAGATTAGGTGACTGTGAGGAGTTTAACTAGCTGAGAAATATGAATTTTGATTATTGTGGGTAGACTGAAAAAGTGAGATAGAGCCATAAATGGCTGTATGTTTAGGAAAGGACAATCTAGTGAAAATTAATATAAATATTCAATTGAACAACACTGATTTTTATGTGTTTTCTGGAATGTTGACTGTACAGAATATGACAACATAAGACAAAGTTCATGTCAATGTTAAAAAAACTTACAAATTAACTGCAAATTTAATTTAATTAAGTCAAATCGAATAGAAGTTCTCTTTGTTGGATTCAAAGTCCAGGACTATCATGCTCATGCGTACGCTGCACACACAGATAGTAACATTTTGAAAAGGCCACATGCAGGCTGCAGAACATTTCTCTAGCAGACAAAAATAATGTTTGTGTTGTACGCTCATTATCAAATAAGCATGTTAATGATATTGGCATCATTATGAAAATACCTGCAAATACAGACGTGTCTACTTTAAAAGGAAGACTGGAAAGAATACAATTTGACATCACTGTGTAAGAAAAAAAAAGAACACAGTCCAAGGTAGAATTCACAGGGAGACATGGTCGTACAGTATATAAGGACCTACTACATAACATGAGGGCTACTCCAACTTCACAACATCGCAGTCAAATTAAAGGCTTGCAGACTGCCGAGAACTGTACGGTCATGCTGAATGACATTTTGAGAAACATCTTTCCATATCAATGAATAAGGGCAGTATAATCTTTGCCATCAGAAGTTTACAGACGAGTTGTCAAGTACAGGACAGCCCCCAGTCGTTCATTAACGCAGAAACACAGTAAAATAGCTGATAAGCGATAACTGTTTCAATAAAATAGTAATTTAAGTGTTGCAATATCTGTTGTCCTCAAGCCGTCAATGTGCATTAGGTTTGAAGATACCCAGATATTACTTCTTTGACTAGTGTAAATAAGAAAGCCACCTCAAACATGCTGTTTTTAATTTCGTGGTGTAGAATGACATCATATTCTGCATCTTAAATAGTATCTTAAATATAGATTTTCACCGGATTGAACAGTCATTTGCCCTCAAACGTGCTTCTTTTATCTTTGTAAGATTACGGTACAGTTTGTCTTTCTCGCCTTACTTGAAATATGTCGGTATATCTACAATTCTGTAGTGCTTCTGCATAACTACTGCACAAAATACAAAAAATACACATTGGAACTTGACATACGTTGATTAAAAAGAATAGTAAAGACTCAAGAACATTTTGTAAAAAATTAAATCAGTCTAGATTTTGGTTAAACTAAATAGTCTTGCAGCAATACTGTGGTAGACAGTGGAAGACAGTACAGTATGCTAGTAGATAATCTGCTTACGCAACAGCATTCAGAAAAAAAGGTTTTACTTATGTGACAAGCTTGCATAAATAAATGACACTCGATTTGGAGATTCTTCAAGACATGTTTCCACTCTGTAAACTCTTTGGCATCCAGTTAGTTCTCTACTGACCACTTTCCACGTAAACCAACCTTGCCAAGTAACACTCATAAAAAAACACGTTCATCCAGTCCTTTGGCTGTCACTGGGTTCCATTTTGCTGTGGGTTTATTGCTATTATGGCCTGTAAAGAAAAAAAGCCTTGTTTAAATGATATTTAATGATTTATACTGTATGTACATTTACACCACTTCAAAGAAGAAAAGTGAATACTACAATATATATAATTTGTTTTTTTACTTTTCCAAGAACCGTCAGGTAGATGTGGGCATAAATTCTCCTGTGTATAATTTTATATAGTGGTTTTTATATATTATATAATGAAATAATACATTTTATTGAGAATTAATTGAAGAAAAACTGTAATGGATTCAAAATGAAAAAGAATCAAAAGAAGGTGCATAGGCCTGTTGATTTATTTACAGCCTTGTCCTCAATGGCCCGAGTGACCAGATATTAAAGAATAGCTTCCACAGCTAAATAAATATCTATAAATATATGGGTATAGTATGTTGTGAGAATGCTCGGCCGAGCACTCAGGTTCGCGTGTTAGAGAGGCTTACTTGTTTCAGGTCTGGCCTTTGGCAGATCCTGTGAGTATGTGTCAGTGGGGAGTGTGTGGCCGGTATCTCTGCGCTCGCCCGCGACCGCGGCCCGCGGCACCGAGGCCGAGAGGACAAGAGGCCTCTGGTTGTGGTACTTGAGGCGGTACGTTCCGTCATGCAATTATCCACAGTGAAGTACGTTGTCAGAGAAACCTCTTGAGCCGGCGCCGCTCGCTCCACCCTGCAGCCAGTCGATCTTTCCTCGCTTTCGCACGACGACGGCGTGCTTCTCCCCGGGTCGGAGCCCGACTTTGAACTCGCGTCCGAGAAGGTCCTGAGGCCCGAAATGTCAGGCCTCCTGTGAGGACAGGCGCAGGACGTGGGCGAGAGACGAGGACTCGGCGGGAAGGGTTCCTGCAGCGTCCTCGGACGGGACGCCGGGTGGCCGGTTTCCGCCGGGTGGGGAGAGATCCGCTGGGCGGCCCGCTGGAGGGGCGACCCCGTCCTGCCGAGCGGACGCTGACTGTTCAGTTGGAGCGGTTCCGCGGTGGCGTCGCCGGCGGGGCTGCAGGGCGAGGTCACGCGAGGACAGCGGAGTTCATTGGCGCCGGTGTTTTCCCCGTCATCGGGCTCGGAGAGAGCGAGATCGTCGGAGCTGTTCCATTCAGAGCTGCTGGTTTTCGCCATGTGCCTCTGGGCTGCGTTTTCTCCCGCGTGACCTTTGCAGCTGGTCGGCTCACTCGGCCTGTTTTCTGAACCAGCTGAGTCCCTCTCGGAGGATACTACTTTTCTGGAGGTGCTGGAAGTGTACTTTGATTTCCGTCTACATGAAATAAAGACGGAAAAAATTATTTTATAGGAATGGAAACGAGCAGGAGAAGTTATTTATAGTTTTTAAAAAAAGGGGCACTACCTCGCACTTGGACTGCACTTTAGATGTGAATGTGGAACTTGGTCATGGTTCTTTCCCTGAGGTTTGGGTTGATGTTTACCTACGACAGAAGCACAGCTGATTAAAACACAGTGCCAGAGGAGGACAATAAAAATAAAGATGGCTTGATCAACTCCTTTTAAAGCCATTACACTAGTTCCATAGTGGGGAGTCTAATTACTACAGTTTTACAGACTGTATTTAGTTAATTCATTTCTACGCCAGGAAATGTTTAGAACACAACAACTAAAAAGATATTTGGCATGACTAAACATGAAGAAGATTAGAGAGAGAAAAATAGATTTCAGTGCAATGAAGGAGATTCATTCTCAGAATTAAGAGATTTAATCCAGAATATTGAGAATCGGCATAATCAGATTTTAGACTTTAATCACATAATTCAGACTTATTTTTCTCTTACTCGTCTTTCTTAAATCTGAACGATTTATGCACACACTTAAGAACTGAATTTATACAAAAGTAGAGGCCATTTCGAGACAAAATCATCTACATATTATACAATGAAACCAATGTTCCCTCTGGGCAGCAGGTGGCAGCAGAAGAGTTTAATTCACATTAGACCTCCTCACAGGTGGAGGACCCAGCTAGTAAGCTCAGTCAGCATGGCGCTGAATTCCTGCCCTTTAAAAATAGATGTCTCATTTTTTTTTTCTTCGCTGTTGCCCCCGAGAGGCCCATGCAAGGATAACAGCTTTAGCTGTCTGTTGGAAACACACTGGCTCTGGATGCACGCAGCCTTGATAAAGTAGTGTAGCGCACTAAAACAACTGCACAAAAAAGAAAGACATTAATGACAATGCCGACACCCACGTCCAGCTGTGCTATCTGAATTATCTCTGTGGGATTATCATCAGATTAATGCGTGGGCAGGGCTGACTGGGTGAAGAGGTGAGGAAGCCAGTCCGAGCTCAGAAATCAATCCTTCAATTACTCTCACCTCACCAGCTCACACTACGTCTGTTAGACTAACACAACTATAGCGATAGAACAAGAGGTAGGGGTGTGCTAGGGTGTGCATGCATGCCAAACTAATTTTCCACTGACCGAACCCTCGTATTAATAATAATACTACTAATTATTTACTACTCATGATTCTTCATTTATCGGTTAATCTTTCTTTGGAAGTATTGCAGATTAGATATGACACATGCTAATTTTCTTTAATGCTGTTATCTTATTTTTAACTTATGCTACCATATTCGGTTGTGTTTCATCCATATCTCTTTTTTTTTTTACCTCTGCTTTTTATAACACTGCCACAATTCATTTTCAAAGACGACTTGATGTGAATGTGTTTTCAAGGCTTGAGTATTAATTTTAACAAATTGTCATGTCTAGGCGATATATTTAACTAACGTACTACAGTCTAAATATTCAAAAATAAAGCCCTTGACGTCCTCGCACTTACCATTGTGTGAAGGTGAGGAGGTTGTACTCGATTTGGCATCGCCTCCCTTTCTGTGCAGCTGACTGAAAATTTAAAAAATATATACAATTATTCAACACAAGTTTTAAATCAATCCTGTTTTCATGGTATGTCAATATTTTTTGGAAAAGCAGAAAGAACAGAAAGTAACACTCAAACACACTTTCATGGTCATTCAAACCAAATATTGCAAAGCACCAAGGGAAAACCCTGTGTAAGAGTGTAAGATCCAACGCCTGAAAAGAATGTGGTCTTTCAATATTTAACATTATTTCAATGGGGTGGAGCCTAATAACTTATTGTGAAATATATATATTAACATTAATTTCCATAGAAATATCCTGTCAAGGGATAGGATCACATTTTAAATTCTTAAGGCGACTCAGGGGCCTATTTGAACACTTAAACAGGTTGCTCATCCTTTAATCATTCGTCCTTTTCATACCAGCCATTAAAAGATTCCCAATGTGCTTTCCTATGCAAGGGACCAAACTCTTAATCTAAGTTAAGTGCAGAAATGTCTTGCATGTGTATTATTAGAAATAGTAATCATGTTGCTATAATAACATATGGTCTGTAATGGAATCCTGTCCTCATTAAATCATATATCAGGATATATCACATACATGTTATTGTCATTGTTTATTGCTGCTGATTATTTTTATCCTAAAAAGGACTTGGGCTGGCCATTAGCCTTTAAAAGTGCGACATAAATAAAATTGACATTGACATGTACCCAATCAAATTTTAAAGATTTTAAAGTTCCTGAGAAAAAGTATAGTTTTAATTTGTGAAGTAATAATTCACAAAACTATCTGGTTATTTAATGTATTTAGTTATTGAATTTACACGAATAAGCTTTATCAAGTTTTGCTTTGATCGATACATCAACTGTTCGGCATAGAATAAAAACTTTTTTTGTTTGGAAGATTTATCTAACTCCGACGGCTGAAGGCTACAATTATCTTCGAATAGAGTTGAGGAATGCACTTGTAATACATGTGCATTACAAAGTAATCTTTTAATGGCCTATGTGAACAGGAGGAAATATTAAATCAAGTCTTACATGTGCACCTGCCTATTGTTTTAAGACAGACCCGAAAAATGTTCAACCTGTCCACACCTGTAGTTATTCACATAATCCAGTAATACATATTTATTTACAGCTGTAACGATGAGTGATTAATATACCTTGTAAAAGGTGCAACTTCTTGTAATCTGTGACCTCCATCGAACAGCGCTTCTTACCTTTGCAGCTGCGCCTCCGGCGTCGATCGCTGGTCTTTAACGACGAAACCGTCGACGCCAGGTGAATCGGGGTTGGTGGAGCCACTGCTGAGTCTATCGCTGCTCTCGTAGCCGGACTCGGTCCTTTGGATGGTCCAGGTATCACTTCGCAGCAGTGCCTTTGGGCCTCCCTTGAGTCTGCCGCCCCTCTGCTGGTTGGCCCTGCTCTCCGACTCCACGGAGCTGTGGCTCTCGGTCTCGTGCCGCTGCTCGTCCTCGTAAATCGTCATCAAACACTTCTGCCTCCTGTCCTCTCTGGCCCTCGCGTACTCCCGCTCGCGGTCTCGGCTCTGTTCGCCGTGCGCTCTCTCGTGCGACGGAGGCTTGCCGTGCCGGGGGCTGTCGTGTTGCTGTTGACGACGCTGCTCCAGTTCATTCAGAACAGTGTCCACGTTCAGCACCTCCCGAATGGGTCTCCAGGTGGACTTGGATTTGTTACGGCTGTCTTGCTCCCGGCAGCTGTCCTGCTCAGGGCGGCTCGGTGAGGAGTTGTTCTTCCGGCTGTGGCCGCCGCCGCCGCCGCTGCCCTGCGTGCTGATGGACTGCCCACGTGGCTCCTGACATCCTCTGCTTGGATGGTTTGATGACTTCTCACTGCGTGGATGGGTTTTTAATTTTTGGTCCACCAGAGTCCTCGGTCCATTCTCTGGAGGAGATGAAGATCTTGCATGTGCCATTTCTAGAGAGGAGGGACACAGATTATTGATCGTCACGCTCCGACGTACGTTTTTGTTCCTTCTACACTGGCTTGCCCTCTTTTGGTCTCTATCATCAGCGTTCCCTCTACCTTTGTGTTGTGATAGGTCCGTTTTCCGATGGCCTCGATCCTTTTTTGATGTTTCACTTGGCCTCTGCAAATTCTCCAGGAAAGGTTCCTGGAATTTGTTAGGATTGCCAGGAGGAGGTTTCACTGAGGAAAATAAATATTGAAATGGCATGTTTTACCTTCGATTTATTTTGGGTTACCCTTTCTGATTGTGACTGAAGACATCAGTGAAGCACATAGTAAACAAATACTTTTTGGACCTAAGCTGCCTTTAGCTACATAAAAGAGCATGAGGTATGAATTACCAATTCGGGTGTCACGCAACCATTTACATCAGTACATTTTATTGGGTACCAGATGTGCTAGAGCGTATCGGATAAACCTGCATTATGTGCAAAGCTCGGACAAATTCACACTGTTTTGTGCAGTTTTTAGCTTGACGGTTGCCGGCCGGCTCATTCGTACTCATTTTAATACAGCTAGAATTTGTGCTAATGAATCTCTGCAACAAATGAAGCAACAGACAAAACCACCCAACAAATCTTACAAAATAACATTTCTAGTGCAATGTGAAAATACAGTACTGCTCCCACATTTGCCAACGCTGTGTTTTTGTTTGCCTCTGCAGCAAGAAGGTCACTGTGAGGAACAAGAGACGCTGTGAACTGCTTCCAAATGTGCTTTAAAATCATCACCTTCACCCAGCAGCAGTCCTCTACGGTTACATCACCTGCTTGTGGCTGCTTGCATTTGTGTTTTTATCCAACTGACACTCCATGATATCGTGAGGATCCACAGTAAAACACAATATAACCTAAAATTAAAATGAATCCTCTCTGGAACATGAGGTGATGCTGTGTGCATGACTGCTGGATCGCACAGCAGTGGTGAGTAACAGCACTGAGTAAGCTGCCCAGATTTGGTCATGAAATATTTGGGCTGTTCCACTGATCCAGTGATACCAGTGTTAGACGGAGTAGACTACTCCTTCAACTGCCAAGGAACTAAGCAGTTCACACCTGATCGTGATGGCCGAAGTTAAACAGGGACTCAGGCTTAGTAATGCAAGTATAGTGTCACACTGCACAGCTGTTGTCGATGTAGAGAAGGGCAAATTAACCGTGAATGAGTAGTCAAATACAAAACAAGTAAATTAAAGAGAAAAAAGGCAAATCATACAATCAAATAGGCAGATATTTAAACTGAGCCACGTCTCGCTCTATAACAAAAAGCAATCACTTACGCTCATTTCATAACAACGAGAATCCAGTCCCATGCCAGTCAAAGTGTTTGTGCTCCACACAAAACAAAAATAATCCCTCCAAACAGACGAGGCGCCATTGCCAAAAAAAAAAAAAACCAGCAGATGATTTAATGGAGGCAAACATGGGAAATGTCCGGGGGAGGAGCGAGAGCCGTGCAGCGGGAACAGCAGTGCGCTTGGTTACAGGAGCAGGGATTAGGGAGCGAGGCGTGGGTGGTAATCTGCGTGCAACTGAGGCATCATCCACATGTCAAGTTCAAGCCGGCACACAGGGAAGGACACGCTTTATGCCGACAGTTTAACAGCCCTGCGGTTTTCTCTCAATCCCGATGCAAACCATAACTGTTCATATACGGAGTGAAATATTTATTTCTATTGTCTGAGAAAAATTGTTGTTGATTAAAATTGTTCAGAGGATCAAAAAGACTGAAATTTATGGAAATTAGGTGATTAGATAAATGTACATGTGTTTGCATTAAAATCCCAATCATCAACTGGTATTTATAATATCTACATTATATATTTATTATCAGTCAATACTAAATACATTATAAAAAATACTGCTGCCTGGTAGCAATTACCCTCTATTATTTAGAACGGAAATAATTGAATATATGTCTGTTTCTGATAACGTGGTCTAAGGGGCTAGCAAGGGCATTACCTCCCAAGTAAATACAAATACTATTTTCATCACAGGCGAACAGTAAAAACATGTTAATAAAAGAATTACTTTTCATAACGGTAAAGTTTGGTATGCATAACATTTAAAACTAATTAAATCCTTTAAAACCAAGTCCATGACTCTTTGATTGTCAAATAAACAGCCTGAAGCTTTAGACAAACATTAGTGAGGGATGCATTCACTTTTTCTGGCAAATGATTCTGGTCTAAGTAGGATTATCTGTTACGAGGACACCATGTCACGCATTTCTGCGGTGTCCATGGCGTCCTAAAATACAAATATAATAAATCAATAAGCCAAAGTGTATTTTGAGTGGATTATTGCACTTTTGACATTATACTGTAAGTCTCAAAAGTTGGCAGTAGAAGAGAACAGCTGAATCTAACACTGTTTATTACAGTATTAAAAGGTTTGTGAAGTCACTCTTATTTAGAAGTCAATCTAAATAATGCTGGGGTTTTTATGTCTAAATACACACAGTTTGATTATCTGTCTGAAGTGCAACGGTCAGGTGGGCTTATAACCGGGAGATTGTGTTACCTGTCAGGTCACCGTTCATCTGGGCTTTGTACCGAGGCCACATGGTGGTTTGTCTTGGTGCATCTTCGCTGGACACCGGCGATCCCTCGGGATTGGTGTAAAATAAAAGGAGCGGCTGGTAATGCCCCCTGACACATTTTGAAGCAACATCTTTCCATTTGGATCCGATCTTGGGGGGGAAGAAGGGGGAAGTGCGGTATAAGAGCGTGTAACAGTAACAGGGATGAAGTGGATTAATAGCACAGAGAGCCTAACCTCTTTTACAGTAGCATCATCAAAAAACATCCATTTTGAAGATTTGGTGTGATAGGCAAAGGCTGAGTAATGTTTACTCGAAAAACAGATCATCCCCACCAGATGAAGCTCACTCCGTTTGGCATTTTCATCCGTGACACGGTTGAAAAGCTGAAATACAGCAAGTTGAGACAAGTTTGATCGCCACATGTTGCTCTTTAGCAGATGCTAAATCCTATGAGAATACAATCTATGTGTCCGTTTTTTGGTACTCTGTTGAAGTGTATCAAACATTACAACACAGTGACCTTCATCATTACTAGTTTGTGGAGAAAAGAAATCGTACAATAGCTGGCAGCTATTGTAATTTTCTACTAGTAAATTTAACAGTTCTTGTGCAAAAAAAGATTCACATCTAAATAAACAAATATCTTTATGAGGTCTGTAGTTCAGTGAGGTGTCATGTGATTAAGTGTGCTTCATCTCTTACCCCACACAGGTTCAAACGTGGTCCGAGTGCCCGAATTACGTCGTCTGTGAGATCAGACTGCTCAGCATCCCAAACAAATCCAATAGTGACAATCTCTGGACAGTTCAGCAGCACTCGGCGGATCTTGATACTTTGACCACAGTTGCTCTGCAAATTATGAAGAGAGTTATGAATGTTAAACCACTGAACTAATGTTAAATAGAGCTTTACTCGAAATAAATATCTTATCAAACACAAAGGAATTAAACTAACCAGACTGAAACCATTCAATCACATAAGATAGGGATCCAAAATGTGCAGCGAGTAAAAGTAAAATTGATCTTTTGCTTTTTAAATCTCGGCGATAAATACATCAGAAAATGTCAGCGTAATCGGTCGTGGTCTCTGGATCTCTGTCTCAAACCCGCACACTGAAAAAAAACATCTGACATATCACTTCAAAATGTCATATCAAGGACTATTTCGAGATGGGAAAAGTGCCAGACAGCCCGATTATCTGTACGTCAGCATCACTAAGTCGGCACTGGAGATCGCGTTTTCTGGAAGGATCACTGGTTACGGGAAAAGAGCCCTCGGCTTCACCCAACTGATGCACAATAAAGAGGAAGACAGCGGTAGCAAGAACATACGAGCGAAGAGTGGATATTCCCCCCTTACTGCTATTTATATCCTAACACTAGTCTGGCACCGTCTCCTTCCGGCCGCAGTGCAGAGTCGCAGCGGAGAGCACAGCATGTCCTCTACTGAGCTGCAGGAATAAACTTTGTGACCATGTTTTAGTAACAGAAATTTACTCTCCAGCAGAGACACTCAATTATTCATTAATGCCGGATCAAATCAGCGTTTAGTTGAACTAATTCAGCCAGACGAACGGCGAGACATTTTGAGCCACGACATAGAAGATGTCGGTTTTCTTAAGAAAAACATCCCAAAAGCAATGAACATTGACAATAAGTCACATACCGGGCAGCTCCGTTGGTCGCCTGTGTTGTTTGCTGCTTGCAGCAATTCTCCAAACATGTCCGACCTGAGCCGTTCGTTCTTCCCCAACATGCGATCAACCTGTTGGCTGAGCGAAAAAAAAAGGAGAGTCTATCAATAGTTTGTTGCAAATCTATTTTAATGTATTTTTGAATGATTATTTATTTTGTAATCATCATAGTTAACACTTGATGGATATATTGCATCACCACAATCGTGTATTTGTAAAACACAGAAACTGTGTGATGGTAATCAATGTAAAATGTCTGAAATTGGGAATTTATTAGGGACACACATACAATTCGATGCAATCCAACACGACAGTTCTGCTAAGATTTAAGTTTAGGAAGATTTTAATGTTCTGTTGACATTGTCAGAGGGTAATGTTGTATTTAGTGGTGGTGCTGAACTAGTCTGCATTATGTAAAAACGTGTATCTAATATTTTTCTCCCTCATGTATGTTAATGAAGGAAGAAAATCACCTGACTATCAAACAGACCAGTTGAAAACAACACTACACACAGAGTTATATCAACACCACCCTTGCAGTGTGAATTAAAACTGAACATTTGTAATTCAATCAGGAATCCTGATTCCTGATTCCTGATTGAATTTATAGTGGACACATAAAACAGACAATATTTATAACATGTAACATAACTAGTGTTAAATCCATTACTGTGTTGAATGTAGATAATATTTAAACATGAAAGGTGTTCCTATTAACACACTTAATACCAGTGAATCCAAGCATACGGTCATTTTGTCCAGTGTGAAGATTTGCTTTGTTTATCAGACCGGTGCTTTGACGGGACTCAAGTGATCATACAGATCATGCATAACAGGAATTTTATATAAATTGTGCACTTAATATATAAATGGAAGCATTTAGATTTGAAATCAATGCAGATACAACAGGCAGCCATATAGTGTAGATTGGTTGATAATAATCAACAGTAGGTTTTTGAGTGGAAAAGACAGGAAGGAAATTGATCTAAGATGCTTAAAATTGCAATCATTTTTTTTTTGTAATCTTATTTAATACTATGACATTTAAATCAGGATTAGCACTGGCCTGATTTTTGAATCGCATTTTTTAAAGCCATGGCAGTAAATCAAGCACTCACCATAACGCTGTGGTTGAGACGTAATGTACAAATTCTGTGAACGGGTGCGGGTCTGAAGATGCACCACAGCAACGACACACAAACTGCAAACGAGAAACAGATGCATTTAAGTGAAAGACCTGCGTTGGTCCAGTGACCAGTTATTAACGTTAACACGCTGTTAGAGAATCAGTGGAAGTCTTAAGTTATTGGTAGTATTGTTGTTGTTATACTTAGTTATTCTCCCTGTAGCTTCTTCACACCAATAAACAAATCACTATTCTGTTTTTTCTTAGAAGGTAAAAACTCAGTTACCTGCTCATACAGCATCATTGCAAACTTCTGATGGGTGATGCAGGATTTGGATGAACATGCGTCCGTCGCAGTGTCAGAAACTGTGTGTAAGTGAATTCGCTCAAGGATGTTCTCCTAATATATAAGAAATGAGAGCAGACAACTGAATACATAAACACCAATCCTACGCAGCACTTTTGCACAGTGATGCCTTTCAAACTATGAACCGGCCAGTCAAACCTTCTGAAACTAGTCTATTCTACCGCAGGTTCTGAAGTGGGTTTCAGGAGGTATAAGCACCACACAGACGGATCAAACACACAAATATTAGTAAGACGGCAAACTTGATGAAATCCAACATATCTCTACTTTCATCGTCACAGGGAAGAGAGCAGCATGACATTATCTCGTACGTAGTCACGGTGGGAAATTGGATGCCAATAAAAGCTAAAGGCACGTCATCAACGTACAAAGCACTCAGCAGCATCGTCCATCAGGCCCAGTTGGAAGCGTTGCTCATCTTTAAAAGTTTCAGCGAGAGCGTTCCGTAGGCTGTCGGAGGGGAGCACGCGCTCTCTGCTCTGCTGAAACTGGCTGAAGATGCTCTGCGAAGAATTACGATTAGTTGCTGTCATGAAACTGAATGGCATGTAAATCAAACAAAGTCAGCAAGTTTTTAAAAGTGCAAATATTACAAGATGAAATAACGTGCAGAGCGTAGAAACAAACCTTCAAAGCACAGAAGATGCACGCATCACCGAGACAGAAGTGACCCGAGAGCTGCCTCAGACTTCTTCTGAAGATGTCCAGCTGCCAAAGCACCTGTGACGGTTTGACCACAAAAGAACGAGACATTTGAATGATTTTCTTTGTTTGTAAAGTACTGAAAGAGTTGTGTTATCATGTTTCTTCACCTGTACGGCGCTGTTGAGGAAGCAGCTATTCTGTCCAGGCTCATTCAGCAGGCCTTTGGTGAGCGCGAGAGACAGCATGCTCCCAGGCTGGTAGGATTTCTTCAAGCCTCCACCAGGTTTTTTGAACATCTTCACCCATGCCCTGGAGTTAGAGCCTGCAGCTGATGAAAATAAATCACCCGATTCTGACATGTGTGATATCGCTCTCTTCTCCCGTGTCTTTTCGTCTCTAGCGAAGAGCTAAAAATGAACCGCCAAGGGCTTACGTTTTATATTACTTTGTCATTTCAAGGACCTTCATCATTTCAGTCGTTGATAGTAAAAAGTAAAAACCTTCACCACATGGGTCACCTTAAAATCCTCATGTCAAACTATACTATATATTATGGATGTTACCCACTCAAATATGCTAAACGCCTGTAATCTTCAGTGGATTTTTATTGAATATCTACATTGGTGTACTAATGATTCAATTATCGCACGGAACTATGGATGCATAATAGTCAATCCTGGAAGGAAATTTGATCAATCTTAGACACAACTTTCAATACATGATTAATCCAAATGCCTGACGGCTGGTCGGCAGGTGAGTCGTGTAGAAGGTAGATCTACCTTCTCCAGAGTTGGGGGGAGACTTGCTGCGGCTTGACATGCTGGAAGGTGGCAGCTGGTGCGCTGGTCTGGCCACGGGCTCCATCCATTTCATCCCCACGCCCCTCCGGGGCGGTTTGTCGAAAGCATGCTCAGGATCAGCCACCGCGCAGCCTAACCCACGTGCCACTGGACATTGAATGGCAACTGGACAATACCTGAGGGCGGGTGAGACGGGACAAGGAAACCATTCACGGGGCAGAATAGCTGATGAATGCTTGATATGGTGTGGAGGTTATTTCCTGCAGTTGGTTATTTGTTCAGAAACACTCAGACCTGATTTCTGACTTGGGCCACCTCTACAAAGCAGACTTTGCTCCGTGCATTGTGACCCCACCGGCTCTTGCAAAGACATGCAATGTTTTAGCACTTTTGACTAATCCAGTAGCTTGATAAGGGATTGAGTTTCTAGAAAACTCTTCTTAATTTACCTCTATGTATAACAGAACAAGAATACCATCCATCCAATGATACACGGGATAAAAAAAATATTTTTACACAATTGTCTTATTTCCATTTCCATTCCGTTTAAATTGCAAGAATAGTTTAGAATACTTGCGGCTAAGATGATGACATATTTTTGTCTCGATCTGGTGCTACACATTTGCAATGTTTACACAAATCAAATTTGTATAAATTTTCATGATCAGATGAGAAAGTTACGCAAACTTATGTTAGTATATTTTTTAAATGTAGCTAAAATACATATTCTAAAAGAAATATTGCAGGCATTTCACTTGGCTGGGCTTAAAGAAACAAACATATACCAGCCAATATTTTCATCATGTTGTTTTGCCTCAGTGCACACATGATCGAGTTTCTTCACCAGTGCCACTCAAACATGTGACGTCTGTATGAGGCCTGCACGCTCTGACATAATGCCCACTTTTGAAATAAGGTTCTAAAGAGGACACAAATCCGTCATCCAACGGTATTTCATGACCATACTAAGCTCGTCTAGTGGTTTAAAAAAAAAAAAAAAAAATCAACCAAAATCTCAGGCGTGTGCGAATTCCCACAGTGGGAAACATGCTTGCAAAGCCTCACGGTCAACTGTGTGGGAGCAGCCGCGTAAATATGCCGCAACTTGCACACACGCATCGACAAAAACCCGGACCGAGTCCTGCGCCGACTCACCTCAAAGGGAAGCCGATGCAAAGCGTCTGATGGCAGCGCGGGGCGGTCCGGCCGTCACCGATCAAATCCCGGCATCAATAAAACCGGCTAAAAAACAGCGCAGATGCGTCCGGGCGCGTGTAATCGCAAAAGCGTTATCCGTCATAGTGCAGCATTCGCGATCCATCCGACGCGCACACCGACGACCCCGTCGCGCGAGCCCGGCGCAGGACAGCGTTATTTCGCGTATTCTTTTCTTTTTGTTTTTGTTTTGTTGTTGAATTGTCCCTTCTTTGGGTTCAAAGTGGTCCGGCGATGGCGCGTGCGTGTGTCCGCATGTCCGATCGCGGATTAGTGATGTTTGGAGAGACTTGCTGGGTTGAACTCCGCCCCTAGTGCAGCCTCGAGCGCACTGCTGCTGCTGCTGCTGCTGTGTTGCAATCTCCAAATCCCTGCACGGCGAACTGTGTGCTGGCGGAAGGTCAGACTTCCAACTTGTCATGATGATGATGAGGAAAGACATCACATGACTGCACTGGTTTCATAATCATGCAGCACTGTGGGGACTAAACCCTGTGCGTATTTATTTATTTATCTATTTATTTTGGAAATGCGCTTCGCTTAAATGTCAAACAGCCGAACAGGATACTGTTTTATATTATATTATGTTATTCATGTTGAACGCTACATGCTGAACTAATATATAAATATATCTATATTATATAAAGTAGAGCGTGGACCATGTGCAGTATTTGAGGCAGATCCAGTCTGACTGTACGTAGAAGTCTCTGATCCTTTTTTTTGGCTCCAGCAATAGAACCGACACCTCCCTTGAGACACAGGAAGTGTTTTTGGTGTTATTTATTTCAGGCTTTATATTTCACCTGCTGAATGTTGCACAGCTGAGCTCTGTTCAGATGAGCTGTCAAACTGTTCGTTAGTTTATTTTTGGAGTTAGCATTTTATTATCTGTTCTGTCTCTTCATTGTTTCTTCATTGTTTTCAGTCTGCGGGGTGTAATAGGTTATCCAAAAGGGACTTAAATAGACTCCCAGCGACTATAAATCCACAGCCGAACTGACTTTTACCACAGAATAACTGTTCCTAATATAGAGGTCGATGTCCAGGTCGGGTCCTGTCCCCAATAATACATCCTCAAAACACAGTAATGCAGAAAAAACAGAACATTCTGTGTAAATGTAAATACAAAGTATTTGGATTGTCAAGGTTTGAGAGAAATTATAGTAATGTTTGCTCAAGAGTTCCTACTCTTGCCTTGAGTTAGATTGTGCTGTATCTCTCTCCCCTCTCTGAGTCTGTAGATTGTATGTTTTGGTTCATTAATGAGAGAAAAATGTGTCTTAAGGGGTTCGTCCCAGCAAATTGTGCTCAATAGCAAAAAAAAAGATGGTCATATTTTGTCTTCTTGAAGCTAATTGTAAGATTGTGACGGCTTGGAAATCTGTTCACAGGCCGAGCAAACAACATCGGTCAGAGGGACTGTTACAGTTACTTACATATGCAGCTAAAGGTAAATCTATCTGTGCATGCACACATCAGACACCCTCCACTGCTATTTTTATAAACCACAAATCATGCCACTAATATTTCTATTTAAAATATTTGCTAATATGTACTTTCTGATCTTTGTTTTGTTTTTTGTTGTTTGTGTAATGTGGAGAAACTGTAGAAGTAAAATCATGCCGCTTGACTGTATTGGGCTCAGTTGTCAAAAAAATACCCAAATATAACTGACACACTTTCAGTGTATTTTGCACTCGTACACAGTTTACACACGTTTCATGTTTTAGGACATCAGTGGCAAGAAACAACACACAACAAACATTTCAGTTTGCTCACACTGCAAACAAGGAAGGCCAGACTACATCAATGTTTACAATTATTAAACGTATTGGCACACAAAGTCACTGTTTCTATGTCCGTGTTTTAATTCATTAGTTCCATCGCAGGTCAAAGTCCAGATTTCTCAGTGTTCCACTTCGATGTGACTTCTGTTATTCCCTCAATATAAAAATGTTTCTTAGCTCCAATGTAATTTTCAAAAAACGTTTTCAATTGCAGTCCACAATAAATCAGAGCTGTCAAACAGTCCTTTCACTATTGTTTTATTTCTACGGATCCATTTTTCCTATTTCGCGTTAAAGTTTTGATACATTTTTTGATTAATCAGCTTGAGTTAACTTTAACTTTTATTCTTTTATTTTTAAACTAACCCATAGCCTTATACTACTAACCCATAGCATTATATTTTATTTTATTCTTTGTGCACTGTCTTGTCATCCATCATGGGACTGTCTGCTGTTACGCACCAACCGCCAAGTCAAATTCCTTGTTTGTCTGACACATTATAGCAACAAATGTTTCCTTATTCCTGATTCCTGATCCTGAGTTATTTCTGTCTGTGTTCAACCTTTGCGTTGTCTTACATGACGTTAAGAGTTATTTATTATATATATGTATATTTATATGATAAATAAATAGAAATTAACACTTCTTATTTGAGTATGTGTAATTTCATTCCTTACAATAGATATAAATGGAATATTGCGTATCACAATCACTAAATATAATGCACTGCATGTTCCAGTTGTCTTCAATCAATAAATAAGTAGCATTCTTTATTTACATTACGTATTCATAAAATTCAACTGAACACTTATAAAATTTACAGTTTTGCTGTATGAACCAGTGGAAACCTTTCTTGAGTTATTCTATTTACACGATTTTCTTTGAACACAGTTTAAGTGTACACCAAACACACTGCTCAACAAAAGTTTGAAATATTTTTTCTCTACTAAATGGGATCAATCCAAAATATTAGTATTCATGACTTTGGTGTGAATGGGGTGTTTCGCCTTAATCAGATGTGGCCCTGAACACAACAGCTGGCATCACACGGTTAGACGACCTACAGGTCATCGGACTCCGGGATGTTAACGGCCTCCACGGTCACAGTGGGCAGGATCAGAGGAGCGCCCTCAGATATCCACCCTTGGGCCTTTCGATTAAAGGTGGGTCTTTTCACTCCGGGCTCCTGCAGCTCGTGGTACCTGGGCGGGTTCAGGTCCAGCTCGGGGAGCTTGAATGTGATTCCTCTGGGAGCTTTGTCAAAGCCACCAAAAGGAGTGGCGACCCTGTAATCGCCGTCAAGTGTGATTAGTTCCTCGTTTTTTGCGCTGACGTACCACAGCGTACACTCGTTTTCTCACCGGTTAAAGCTTTTGTACTCGGGAGGGTCCGGTTGCGGGTCTGGTCCTGACATCGTCAGTTTGAGGGTTTCGGCGAGGTCGGGGTCACTGAGGATGGCCTGATCCCACGGGGAGTGGTAGGACTTGGGCATCGCTGTAGCTGTAAACTTCTCTGCAGTTGTGTCTGTCGAGAACCAAGCAAAGAGAGAGAGAGAGACGCCGTGCGGCAGAATGACCCCACGGTCCGGTTTGCAGCGTACTGGTTGATGATGAGCCTTTTGGTTGGGAGGCTAAAGTTTTAGAGTGGATTGTGAATAGCGGCTGTGCTTAGGGAACACTTATGGGCAGACTGAGTTGTCCGTCATTGAGATCTGAGGCCTTAAAATAGCACATAGTTGAAGTGTGCACTCATCATACAAAGTACCAACGAGGGATGATGTCGTACTGGGAGTTTTGAAAAAGCAATGGACTGTGTTGGCTTATTAAAATATAATAAAATACAATATAGCATTTAAAGTTGTGATAATATGAATTACACAAGTTAAATAAGTATCTGTTTAAACTGTGAGGACAGAGTAGATACAGTAGGAAAGATTTCCAAAGTCTACATTTAATGTTAATAGTTGTAGATCTATTTGTACACGGGAATACGATTAGACAAAACAAAAGATTTTTTAAAGAGTTCTTCTTAAAGTTTACATTGGCTCCAAAGTAAACATACCGAAGAGCACAATTACCTGATACAATGATTTCTGGATTAGTTGTATTTCCATCGGTCGGTGGGTCCACTTTAATTTCCACAGTGTGTGCGTTCAAAGCTAAAATATCATTCTGCAACGCACAATTAAAATAAAGTTGTTATCAACTGAGTAACAAAACATAACGCTGGCACACGTACAGTTTCTCTCGTCTTCCATGCACTCAGACACACTCAAACACACACAATATCACACACACGCACACACACACTTATAACTACAGTGTGTGCAGACACACAGAAACATATGAACAGGCACTGATAAATGGGAGGGGGGGGGGGGGGGGGGCAGAAGCTTTGGCTGGACGACGTACAGTGAAAGGCTCTCGTCTCTGTTTATCGTCGCTGCTTTGTAACATCTTTTTTCAAGAGCATATTTCCTGATAAAATATTTTTGCAGTAAAGACACGTTCATGCAGACAACACTAACGCCAGAACTTCAGAATGAATTCAAACAAATATGAAGAGACTGATTAAGAAATACAAGTTGACTTACATTCAGCTGTGTGTTTGCCTCATTTTGTATACTTTCAAATGTATATTTTTCAGATCTCCTCTGGCGCATTTTGAAAAGCCGAGACCCTCGGTTGGAAAGCAACGACAGCTCCTCCAACATTATGTCTTTGGGAGTGCTGAGCTTCTTTCCGAGATCCATTACGTACCCTTTTGAAAAAAAGGAAACACACACAAAAGGTCAACTGGAAAACAATATTCCCAAAGCATTCAGATTAAGAGGACAATAATTTGCAATCAATCAGTGTATTAATTGGTGCATATTACCTAATTTTGTGCCAATATTATTCTCAAAAACTGAATCCTGCCCCAAAATGTATCATTAAGTTAAGGTGCATTTTCTAAAGAGGATTCCCAAATCAAAATGTTTGTAGTTGATGTTATTAAATGTGAGCAACTCCCTTGGTGTATGACAATTCAATTATCATAACAGTTGTTCATAATAAATGTTGAAAGCTTTTAATCTAATCCCAAAGCTGTTCTGTAGAAAAATCCTCTCGCATTTTTTTAAATTATGCATCAGTTGATGAAATACTTTCAGAAATATTCTTAAATAAATTGCCTACTGTATAATTATCACAAACTAACTTGACAGCCGGACGGATTTGGAGCCGGATGGGGCGGATACATAAATACACCCTGATATAATTTTTGTCAGATGGAAAGTTTTGAGGGAAGGGTCCATAGATGTCATCAAATGCTCCCAAAAATGTCAATGTGTTCCATTCGTAAGCCACGTCACGGAAGATGAGTTATCATTGTACTTGAGAATAAGTGTTGGACGGACGTGATGCTTCCTCGTCCGCCTAAACAGACGGTATGTACCCCAGCTGTCACAAAGCTTCAAGTTATCCAAATGGCTACACACAGTTGTCCCTCACCCCCCACACCCTCTCCCCCACTCTCCAGAAATAGCCCTTTGAAAAGGACAACGACAAAGGATTAGTCCCCATAGGTAGTAAATCGTCCCGTTAGCTTATTTATTGTGAATACTGGAGCGTAACTCTGGGATTTTTTTTACCCTGATCACATTGGGTATTATCTCACGGCCGCAGTGTGTTTGTCTGCAGATCCTGAGTTATGACATCGTACCGTTGGTGCCGTGGACCTCCTGGCAAATAGCTGCAGCGCGCTTCTTCCTCTCTCCAGTTGGCATTGTACAGAATTGTGACATTGTGGCTTTGGCAATTCAGGAGTACTGGAGACACATGCGGGACACAGGATGACCAGACTGAGTGATTTTTATTTTTTAGTCAATAAAAGTATATATCCCATTTGCTGTTAGCATCTTTTGGAATATCAAGACTATTTGTAAGGCCCCCGTCAAATAAATCTACCATCTTAGTGTTGGCCATGTTACAATAATCTCTCAATCGAGGTTGGATTGAAATAGATTATGATGTTTCGCAGAACTGCAAAGCTGCAAAAATCCATTGTACTGGGATCGGTTTCTACACACACAATTCTGAAATCTGGTCTCGTCACTGGACCATTATTTGAGTGAGTAAACAAATGTTTGTGGTATCTCCCTTTAAGGTTGTCACAAAATAAATTGCCAGTTTAAAGGTCAAGAGTAACTGTTGTGTCCTAAATTAGTAAGCTATGTGTGGTTGGACAAAGTAAGTATCCAACCACACGTGCTACAACATAATATCCAAAATAACTTGATTTCTTTCTGTTGCTCTAAAGGCAAAAACACTCAATACTACATTTTGTGCCAATCTGTTGAAGTTGGGCCATAATTTCCATGCTGACATCCAGAAGGAAATATAGTTCAAGAGAAAGAAAATGTAACTTATAGTTTGTCAAATATTGCGTTCCGTTATTCACAGAAAACCAAAGCCATGTTTATTTTATCTCAATACACTGACATTCTCCAATCTTCAAACCTAACTTCTAAAATTTGAATGAACCCCTACATATTCACAAAATAACGGCTGCCGACGCTTGTCCGTACCTGCGATGGTATCCCTGGGGTCCCACCTGTATCCTTGAAGGGGAGACACGGAGGCTCAGGGGTCAACCTACAGCGGGTAGTTTGATCTTCCCTGATCTTCACACACACGGACACTAAAGCTAAACTGTGGCCGTGTCTCTGTGTCTGTTGTGAATGGAATGCTGCTTACATCAATAGGCTAAATTTAACCTGCCAAACACTCAAAACCACTCGCAAACACCACGGGGCAAGGATAGCTGCCGGAGAGGGAGAGAAAGAAAGAGTGAGCGGGGAGAGGATGGATGACACGCACACATGTTCTCTGAGGTGAGGCCTCCCCTCCAGAGACACATTTCCTTCCTTAAGTTGGATCTCCAAAGTCGGCATGTCCCCATGGGTACATCTAACCTTCTGGACTTCAAGTTAAGAAGGCTGCTAATGCTCTTCGCAGCTTCTATGTACCTTTCTCTTGCAAATTACTTTTGTTTCTGCCATTATGTCACAATTTCTGACTCTATGTAATGATGAGCAGACCAGCGGAATGGTCAGTGTATATTTTCGTCTAAGATAGTGATCAAAAAAGTATATATACTGTATATATATTTTTAAAGCAGTATCAAGGTCATTACCCTGATAGTTGAGCCTGTCGTTCCAATTCAGGCATACAAGACCTTTAATCTTTAAATTCTCCCAAAATACACTGCCGAGACATAAAAAACGTTCCTGACAACGGAAGTTGTTTTTAGTTTTTGAATCAGTATTGATGTGTTTTAAACACAGACATAATAACAATAATAAGGAATGTTACATGATTTATAATATGTATAATTATATCTCAATGTAGATTAAAGCAAAAACAACAACACCACTTTAAAGAGACTGTTTACATTTTATTTTTCAGTTTGTGTTGAACAGGTGCAAAATTTAAGAATTTCATCAGACACAGCCCCCCCAGCAAAAAAAGTAAAATATGTAATAAACATGAGTACTTAATTCATGTTAAAACCTTGAAGCGTACTGGTGGAATCTGCTGTTCTGTTTACATGTTAACACTCCACAATGTGAGAATAAAGGTGGGATAAATAACGTCTGCATGCAATTTCCTCCTCGGGACTTAAAACCGCATTTAATAGAAGCAAACCAGCTTAAATCTATTTTGAGATATTACAAGTAGGTCAGGAGTCTAAATAAAGCCACTGCAATATAGTGATAAAAAGAAAGATGAGTAACACCAGCAATCGCTGTCGCTGTATGAAATGTTGACGTGTGCACAAGTGATAAAGTCAGAGTGGGTTTCTAAGCAACAGTTGAAAATACATGACAGAAAAGCCACACAATCCTGTGCCTTATTTCTCTATAAATATTCATAATTAATAATGAGCAACACAAATCCATCAAACGTTTCTCAATGTGCTACACCTTCACTTTGCCTCTCATAACACTTACGTCCTTGATCAGTCCCCCTCTAAAAAATGATACAATGACCAATTATCCGCGATTGCAAACCCCCCCATTTATGCTCAGCCGGGGGAAAGCAACAAAACAAAACACTACTGCTGCAGTTACTCGTTGTGCTGCTCGCACCATGAAGACAGCAACTTTCATCACTCCCATCAACAACAAACCCAGTAAATTGTGAAAAATATGTCTCTGACCTACAAAGCTTGAACCTATTTTTCTTACAATAGAAAACATATGTTGCATCCCTTTAAGTCAAATTGAATGTTTTGTGTTTCATGTCCAATATGCTTTTTTTTACAGTGATTAATGTATGTTGAATTAAAAGTACACTTCTCTTCATGTATGTTTGACCTCATCTCAGTGGTATTCACTCTTGTGGACTGGGGAGTACTTTGTTGGACAGGAGCCTCGTCCCATGTACCCAATACCGGCCCTGCTGACAGGCCTCAGAGGCTGAGCGGGTCTGAAGGGAGGCCCATAGAAGGCCGGCCTCTCAGGTGGAAATGTCCTGCTCATGAACGGTGCCTGAAAAGCTGGAGCTGCATGATAATGACCCAGGCTGACAGGTGGAGGGTCAAGAGACACCCTGCGCTTCCATTCTTCCGGGGGCTCCGGCAGAGATCTGCGGTGCCCCGCGGCTTGGACATTTGAAGCAACAGATGACGGGAGGCTCTGAAACCCAAAGGCATCATCCACTGAACCAATTAGGCTTCTGGACGCCGCCTCCCACGGGGACAGTGGCTTGGAGACTTTTCCTTGAAAGGACGCTTGCCTCTGTGTCGGTAAATATGATGACTGGATTCCAGTTGTGGAAGAAGGCGTCGAATTCAGACGCTTGGGGAGGCTCAAGGAGCGGCTCCTTCCGAAGCCCTGAAGAGAAGATCACATGTCAGTTGACTGGTTCGACTGCAGCATTGCAGACTGTGCTGCCACCCGCTGGATTAATGTATGCCAGGACGATCAATTGGAAATTGGGAGTTTTGATTACTAAAAATGTAATTGAGGAAAGGGAGGCAATCAAATAAATTAGTTTCGCTAAAACTCAAATTGGCCACCTACAAAAACAATTTCTTCTGTTTTTCTGTTTTTGCAGTTTTATTATAAAACAGATTTTGGCTACAGCAAATAATATCTTTCTAAAAGCCTTGATAAAAATAACGCAAACATATGGATGAGATTCGTATTAAAGTCTTAAAGCATAATAAAGCATCTAATAGTTTTAAAAAATAGAACATTTTAAATAAAATGTAAGAACTTACCTGGTGTTGGTTCAAAAAACTTGATATGGCAATATTACTACTATAAAACATTTAGAAGATGAAGGATCTTTGTTTGGAACTGTATCTCTGCCCCCTTTACTTTGATTAATCTACCTAACGAGGAAATCCACCCTAAAATGCAATATATTTTTTCAGTTTTTTAAGTTTCATTTTGTATTTCCATTATGGGCCACTTTACCAATTTTACAATAAAACATTTAAAAGTCCCAGGACACCTAGAACGTGTGTAATTGGTCCGACACAGTATTGTTAGTGATTGATGTGTTTCTTTTGGTTTAAATCAGCTAAAGAAAAAAGTGTCTATGACATTATCAGAACTAGCATTAGCCACAGTTCTAAGCTTGTGGTCAAAGCTAATATGAGCCCATCTGATACTCAAAACATTCTTGTTATTGCCATTTATTAATTTAATATTGTTTATATGGCTCACACAATCATAGACACATTATATATATAAATAGGTGTGAACTAAATCTGTTCTAAAATACTTTAAATAAATAATTTTTACGGTGAGTATACATAGTACTTACTAAATGTCATTAGAATTGCAAAATGTAAATGCGGCTTTAGGGTGGATATCACTTCAGTAGTCGGCCATAGACGGCCGACAAAAAATTTGCAGACAGACTTTTGAGGGCCGAGATTATGGTTCCAAACCTTTCCCATTTAGAGTTAGAGGTGGACTCATGGAAAAGCTGTGAAAACAAACAAGCACAGCGGTCCAGACACAAAAAGTCATACTGGTCTGTGACAGTGTTCACCTTCAGCAATTTACCAATCAATTTACCAAACAGTACAGTCACAAATTAGTGAAAATCTTAAAACTGATATTGCTGAAGGTGCAGTAAATACGTGTAGATTCTGTGTGAAAGCGTGACATGGTGAGAAAGATGAAAGAAGAAATATGACTCACTCAGAAGGAAAGTAGTGGTACAGTAGTTCAGGAAAAAGAAGCTCATGACACACAAAGAAAAGTTCACAAGTGGAGTGAAAGAGAGATTTAATAGCATGGTCTTACTCAGAACAAGAAGTGCAAATATGTTTGAAAGTCAGAGAAATCAACACAAAGAAGACAATTGATTCCTATTTTCATTTTGAGTTGCTACTGAGCATCTAAAGCTCAAATATCTGTGATAACGTTGTGTTTTATAGGATGAGTACAGAGATTGCCTGAAGATTTTACCAACACTTAAATACCACGGCCCTCAATGGCAACTGCAGAAAATACGACCACATAAAAAAACATTGAAAATCATCGTTGCTAATAATCACAACTTAAGTAAGTGCTTTTAGCTGTTTGCATGCCATTGAAGTTTGGAATGAGACTGAATAAATTGTGTGTATCCAAAAAGAGTGCATTGATAGTTTCTGCCCAGACACACTAAAGTAAATATAATTGTGTGTTATCGTTTTCTCAGATGGCATGAAACATAGTTTTTAATTAGTGTAATAAACACATTTATTTAATGGCATTGCTCTGATGCTTTTAGGGTCAGTGACTAACACTACCAGACTTAAGTACTTTCTCCTTACAAAAAAGAAACAACTCAGAGAAACGTCAATTGAACAATGTTCTCTGCAAACATTATTTCACATTTATTAGCACTCCCTGAGAACTACTCAACATTATCTAGTTTGCATTTATTTTTTCATACATGCACGCGCCTTCCAGTTTGAGAAGGATGATATAATATCCTGAATTATTTATTCATGTTTTATTTTATTTTATCTTATCTAATATTACATTCTATGGATGATGTAGCTTTGCTGTACATTAATTGTGTTTCGTCCAATTGCTAGCTAAATACATCCTTTTAGATGCATAATTGATTATTTTGGACGTGACATACATTTAGACCGTCTGTGCATGTCCATGTTAAGTAAGACATTCTATGCATATCTTATTTTGTTCTACCATCTCAGCGGTGACAAAGCATGACCATATAGAGCATTAGAGCGAATGAAGCGCAGCGACGGGTCTCCACTGTTTGCCCGTCACCACTGGCTTCCTAGCTGAATACTTCGGGCGAGGTGCCATCTGCCGTGCACCTCTAGCAATGAGAGAGGCAGGAGAATAAGCTGAAGCAATGCTTTCACCAACAGATGAATGCTGGGAGGAGGCGCTTGCGGGACGGGCACTCTGTGCTTGCTTGTTGCTTGTTATGTGAGGGGCCGTTGGAGTGTGCTTTTCACCCAAGCGCTTGTCGGTTGCTGGAGGTTCAACCGAGCTTTGGTGGGTAGAAGAATTGTGGGAACTTACCAATGCAGGAGACTTAGCAGGGACTTCTGCCTTGCTTTGAACAATACGCTCAGAGGCGTTGTCAGGAGAATGAGAAGGTGCATTTCTATGTTTAAGGCTTTTGATGACCTCAAACTTTGATGCTGGGGTAGGTCTTGGGCTGGGGCTTTTGGCCTCAGGTACTGCCTCATACTTAAATAGTGAGGAGTCCA